TATTATCAGTGTTACTGTTACTTTACCTCCACTTGTACACAGATGTGTATTAGCTGTATTACTGTTACTTTACCTCCACTTGTACACAGATGTGTTACTATTACTTTACCCCCACTTGTACACAGAGGAGTAGTAGCAGTGTTACTGTTACTTTACCTCCACTTGTACACAAATGTGTATTAGCAGTGTTACTGTTACTTTACCCCCACTTGTACACAGATGTGTAATAGCAGTGTTACTATTACTTTACCTCCACTTGTACACAGATGTGTAGTAGCAGTGTTACTGTTACTTTACCTCCACTTGTACACAGAGTGTATTAGCAGTGTGACTCTTACTTTACCTCCACTTGTTCACAGATGTGTATTAGCAGTGTTACTGTTAATCGCGCGTATTTCTAATATCACAAATATTAAATTAGCTCGCTGCAAGCAAGCCTAACAACAAACTAAAAGACACGCCATTCTATCGGCCCTTGAAAATTATTAGATTACAGATGGGATAGTCCAACCGACACATATCTCATGTACCACGTGATGTACTTATGTATGTCCACGCAACGCAGAGATCGGAATACTAGCACTAAAAAGTTGATGACGATTCGACAGGAAGCAGGTGCTTGTAACTAGTTTTGAGTTAGATCTGACACACGTGATGTACAACCTATAACAGTGGGGACCACATTGATGGTCAAGTACAGCTAGTGAGACAAATACTACACAAAGGTTAAGACAGTATGGGCCATATTGATGGCCAAGTACAGCAAGTGAGACAAATACTACCCAAACGTTAAGACAGTATGGCCCATATTGATGGCCAAGTACAGCTCGCGAGACAAATACTACACTAACGTTAAGACAGTATGGCCCATATTGAGGGCCAAGTACAGCTCGCGAGACAAATACTACACTAACGTTAAGACAGTATGGCCCATATTGAGGGCCAAGTACAGCTCGCGAGACAAATACTACACTAACGTTAAGACAGTATGGCCCATATTGAGGGCCAAGTACAGCTCGCGAGACAAATACTACACTAACGTTAAGACAGTATGGCCCATATTGAGGGCCAAGTACAGCTCGCGAGACAAATACTACACTAACGTTAAGACAGTATGGCCCATATTGATTGCCAAGTACAGCTAGCGAGACAAATACTACACAAACGTTAAGACAGTATGGCCCATATTGATGGCCAAGTACAGCTCGCGAGACAAATACTACACTAACGTTAAGACAGTATGGCCCATATTGATGGCCAAGTACAGCTAGCGAGACAAGTACTACACAAACGTTAAGACAGTATGG